CCTAGGTTCGAGTCCTAGCCGTGCTCAGCTGAAATTCATTTTTGTTATTTGAATTTTGCCTTGTAAGGGCAGTGATCATTTAAAAGTAATTTTGAGTGATTATTTATACTCTTTCGAGTCGAGCTTGATGATCTAAGTTTTGCAATGAAAAGGAAAGCCAGGAGAATGGTGGGTACGTAGGTTCTTCTCCTGGTTTTCCTTTTCCTGTTGGAAAAAGTCATACGAGAAGCAAAGGTGAACAGAAATGGCCCTCTGTACACCAAACAACACATATTACTCGCCTACGCCGATGACATCGACATAATGGGTCGAACATTGAGAGCGGTAACAGCCACTTTGAACAAATTGAGAAGGAGTCTGCCAAAGTGGGTCTGGCAGTAAACGGCGAGAAAAACAAGCTGATGGTATCAACGCACAAGACGTCCAGTAGACTCGGACCAACTGTGGAACTTGAGAACTACAGCTTCGAGGTAGTCAAAGATTTTATATACCTTGGTACCGCCATAAATAAAACTAATGACATCAGTTTTGAAATTCGGAGAAGGATAGTGTTGGCCAACAAATGCTACTATGGTCTGTGTAAGCAACTCAAAAGCAAGGCCACCTCCCGCCACTCTACAAGATGGTGGTGCTATGGATCTGACAAATGTCGAATTTTGACAAAATATGAATTTAATTCGCATATGCAAGTTTCGCATCAGGGCGGAATAAATACAAGTTATCAACGTACGACCTTTGTAAAGCCACATAGCCCAATATGCCTGATGAGTCGCTTAACCAACGGCGAAACGCGTCGCATAATGGTGGGTACGTAGGTTCTTCTCCTGGCTTTCCTTTTCATTGCAAAACTTAGATCATCAAGCTCGACTCGAAAGAGTATAAATAATCACTTAAAATTACTTTGAAATGATCACTCCCTTACAAGACAAAATTCAAATAACAAAAAAAGCTAGTAGATATATATAATTTGTTTTTCATATGTCAAGACCTGATTATGGGCAACACATATAAAAAGAAAAATCAAAAAAATCAGAATGTTTGTAAAGTTATGAATTTTTCAGTATAGAGAAGAAGGTAAATTTGTGTACAGTATTAATTTGTGTATACAGTCCAAATCGCTTCGTATTCAAATTGTATGAATTCTGCCATCAAAATTATTTGTAATTTTTGTAAAAATGAATATAGAGACTAATTTAAAGTGATTTTTTCTGTCGATTTTGCATTTGGTTTTCTTGATATTGAACTTTAATTTATGTTTGAGGTCTGTAAACATATTTAGAAAAAAAAAACAAAAAAATATCCATCCAAATCCCGAACTCAAATACAAAGTCTAGGTCCATTTTAAACAATTCATTTATTTTACACACAAATTTCGAAATATACCAGCTTATAAATAACTTTAATTATACTGAAGTACATATTAATGAATATATGAGCATACATGTGATTATGTATGTATGTACCTATGTTTGAGCCTACATTTTGCATGTGATATTTGGTTATATGAATAACCTTTAACGAATTTAAGTTAAAATTTGCATGTTCAGACTTCTTGTTTTTCTATTGAATGTTCTTAAGACTTGTTTTTTCTTCCATAAGAAAATTCAAGTTATATTAGAGGCTCAACAAAAGCTATTGCGCCATATATATAAAAAAACCTTTAGTTTTTCTTTGTATTTTATTTTGCGATACTCACAATGCGAGAAGAGAAAAAAAGTTCACGACAAAAAAACAGCCGCATGTCGAGAAAAAAGAAATATATATTGTGGATAATTGGGTAGTACGACAACGTGGCCCATTCAATGAATGAATGAATATAGCGGTGTGTCTATTGGTGTTCTGACCAACCTGCATGTCTGAAAAAAAATATACAAAAACAAAAAAATCAGCAACCAATATCAACGGCATTCAATGCTAAGTTAATAACCCAGTTCTCTTCATGCCACGATGCCATTCCAAGTGTGAATATTTTTGTTGTTTATTTCATTTGGCAAATTCTCGGTTATTTCTTTGAAGAACAGAAAAGTTCGCTGAATGGATACCGTGTGTGACTGCCATGAAAGGCAATCCCCATAATGGCGATGGTGGTAGTGTTTTGTTGAGAAGAAAAACCAAAACGTCATTTTAGAACCTAGGCTTTACGAGGTGTTTCTTGAACCAAATTTCATTTCATTTGATTTATTATTTTTATTTGTTATTTATTTTTTATATTCTATTCAACTGATTTATTTACGCTGAAAATTCTATATGTTTTTTTTAGAACTGTTTTTCATAGAATAGCACAGATGTTCATTTGAAGATTTTTTGTTTGTTCTGCTATCGAACAATCGTGAAAATTTAAACAAATTGTCTTCAGGCCTAAGATCAGTGGTCATAAAAACAAATATTGTTAACAAATTAGTAAGATTTAATAGGTTTTTATATCATTTGTGAAAGGAAAACTCGAATATTTTATTTTTTGTGCTTGATTAATTATTAACGGTCACAAATATGGGCATGGCCATTGTCGGCCATTTAAGTTTAAGGGGACCAGAAGAAAGTCTTCATCTGGTCCAAGAAAGTCTTCCTCTGCTTCAGACAATTTTTATAAATTAATAAGTTGTCCTCAGGTCCAGACGAATTTTTTTCTATGGAGAAAAAGTCTTCCTCTTGTCCAGACGAATTTTTTCAATGGAGAAAATGTCTTCCTCTTATCCAGACGATTTTTTTGGGATAGGAAAAAATATTCCTCTGTTCAAGATACATTTTCTCTGGTTCAAACCATTTTGTTTTTCTACAGAAAATTTCTTTTCTTGTTTTTATTTCTATATTTCTCCATATAATATTAAAAACCACACACATACATATTGAATGTTCAAAATCTATTTGTTTTAACTTTTACTACTCTACTATGGCATCTTTATATAATTTCCCTTTAAATGGTGGTACCATTCTTATTGACAAAGCATTGTGTTGTCCCTGAAAAAAGAGTGGTAATTAAATTTGAAATAAAAAAGCAAATTATTAATTTACCCATCAGATATCTCGAAAATATTCCGAGGGACATATTTCAAATTCGAATTTTTACACAGCAAACCCCATCCGGTAATAGCTTTGTAATTTACCAAATTGATGTCATTATCATTATATTCCGGAATTTCGGTTGGATCCGGTTGCCGAATTTTTGCAAATTGTTCAGCTGAAAATAAATAAAGAAAGGAAAATATTAATTAACTTTAAGTAAATAAATTAATTTTCAATATTTTGGGTAAGATTCGTAACCCAAGATTTATATACCCAAGATATACCTTGTAATGAACAAATCGATTTCATTGGATGAGTTCTTCGCATAAATTAAGCCTGACAAAATCTTAAAATGCACTGAATAAATCAATATCATTTATATGCTATGTTTTTTGGCCTATACAACTAAGTTTGAGATCATATATTATGTAGCCAGAAGAGCTTGTAAAGCCTCGAAATATTTGTCATAGACTTAACATTTACTATACCGATCGTCATATCTTGACTAACTGAATCGATCTACCTGTCAGTCTATTATAATTTGTTGTCAAAATGCAAATCTGACCAATGATCAGTTGTATTATGGAAATGAAATCGAACGAAAACTGCATTTTGGTCTAGACGTTCTAGTGATCACAATTTATTTCCGAACTTTACGAACTTTTACACAGAGAGGGCGATATGATCAACGAATAATCATTGATGTTTTTTGATAATCCGTCATAATTATATATAGGCCTAGATTTTTATGTGAAATAGGCAAGGTTTTTCGAAGTATGTAGAAGTTGCAGGATATACATACATAACATAGCCCCAAAAGGTATTGGAGCTCTGCAATCGTTTATTCGAATGTATCTGAAATATCTAACAATTCAATATTGCTCCATGTTTTGACATAGCTCACATATAGAAGCCCGTCCCATTTAGGTATTTTGTTTGTCCAAACCCATGTTTTGTATACCAAATTATTACGGATTATTTTTAGTGCGTAATAATTTGGTATTCCAAGTTCTTTGATAATATCACATCCTGACAGACAATTTTGCAATGTATGTTATTGGCCATAACGGATTTTTAAACCATGTCTCATGTTGATCTATGTTTTGGCATTGCCCACCTACAAAGGCCCCTTTCAATTGAAGATATTTTTTTGGTCCTACTCACATTTTCCAAGTATAAACAAATTCTACGGATTTGATGTATTTCCCGTATAAGTGTTCCGACCTATTTTAGATATTTTGGACCCCCTCGAGCATTATGGGAAAAAGAGGAGAATCGACCTCATTTTCCAAAAGAAGTGGCTGTAAGTAACTATTGTGGTTGAAGATGAATTTTTAATGTAAGATAATTTTTTAAGTATCCTCCATATAAGGGTCCCAAACGTGTTTTAACCATGTACTTATGGTTTATTATTATTTTACTATTGACAATTTATCAAATCCCCCAAATAGCGACTTCGCTCCATTTCAGCATTTTGTAGGTTTTAGCATTATTTTTCAACTGAGGTCCCTCTAATTTAGTGTGGATTTTAGACAAATTTCTGGAGTTTTTCAAGGGTTGGAAATTTGTTTTTTTTCATGGACCCCATATATGTGTTGAAGATCCTTATTTTTAACATAAATGACAAAAATTTGGCATTCTGAATTCTTAGAGAGAGGCTTCTTGACAGAAAATTTTCAATATAATTTAACAATATGGTAATACCCTCAGCCGTAATCCTCTTTAATACGACAAAAATGTGCCTCATCAGTATATAGTATTATATGGATAATACTAGACAGCAAATTTTTCTGGATCAATCCACATTTGGACAATTTGAAATCGATTGTGAAATGTCCAACTCTCTTCTTGGCTGGTGCACACGATAATTCGCAAAGAAGTGCCATGTTTGATCTAAAGCTATATTCAGCATTGAAACCTCCCACATTCGTAAAGACATTATTCAGGGTGAGATGAAATAACTCCAACCAACTTCAGACTGTATTATGGAAATGAAATCGTTTCTAAGCCACTCGTCCGACAGCTGTTAAAATTATTCCAGTGACAGCTCAATATATTGTTTACAAGCGTACAAAAGCATTTTGGTGAGAAAAAAACGTTATTCGTGATGGAATTCAAGCATCATAGTGTGATTTCTTTATATTTGGCTGGAAAACCACAAGGGGCTATCGTTAGAGCACTCCAGCATTTAAATGTGAATAAATCTTTTGAGTCTTGTACAATCGCTCGTTATCGTGACACTGATAGCCCGACGTCAAGGAAGTGGATGGAAGAAAACATTAACAACAGTAGAAATGGTTCGAAAAGAAAAGAATCGACTTGATCGAAACCCACGTCGCAGTGGCCGAAAAATGGCTCGTGAGCTGAACATATCGCAATATTCCATTCTGCAAATAATGAAAAAACGAGCTCGGGGTAAAGCCATTGAAATTCCAAAAAGTGCAAGAACTTAAACCGCATCAGACAGAAAATAGACTCAGAAGAGCTCAAGAGTTGCATCGCTTTGCCAAAAGTTGTTAACTGGCGAATTTGTTTTTCTCCGATGAGAAAACATTCGTTGTCCAGCAGTTTGCAAACAAACAAAACGATCGTGTTTATTTGCCAAAGAGGTAACCTGAATAAGTGCACCTTCGGTTCCGCCATAAGAGCCGATGGTCGCTCTTCGCTCGTATTAATCGACAGAGGCATCAGAATAAATGCCGAATATTATCGCGAAAATATTCTGGAGGGTGTATTAAAGCCTTGGGCACGCAAATATTTTAGCCGCAAACCTTGGGCATTCCAACAGGACTCAGCACCATCGCACTCAGCACGCGCCACGCAAGAATGATTACAAAATGATGGCCACCAAAATCTCCGAATACAAATCCCTTGGACTATTGTGTCTGGAGTATTTTGGAAAGCAAGGTTGGCACTAAAAATACCAAAGTATCGATCATCTCTTTAGGCTATACAACATAAAATGTTCATCGTTTTGGTATAGCCTAACTGCAGCCCAATTTTCGGAATTTTCCTAGTCACATTTTCTAAACTGAGTGTATTTAGGCATTTATTTATTTATTTTTTTGTCAGCAATTTACCATGACACGAAGGAAGTTCGGCACAGTCGACCTTAACGACAAGTTTTCTTATTTGTAGTTAATTTTTTTAATCTGCCTTTCTTACGGGTTTTGTTATAAAACTTACATATATTTATGTAATTATATGAAGTTCTTAATTCGATTTATTGGTGCTTTAAACCACCCAGGTGTTTTGGGAATTTTGTTTACCAATGCATTGCAATGTAAGGAGGATATAGACTAAGAATTAAAAACTAAAATAATTTCAATGTTTCTCATACATATTAATGAGACATGATTTCGATCATGATAAAACATTATTAAGATATACTGAAATTCGAACAATGGCCACCAATACATGAGGGTCATGTATTGGTGGCCATTATAATTGGTTGAATTCAAATATACAGTATTGAACTGTTCACTAATATTAGACAAATTTACTTTTAAAGACTGGGAAATTTGCACTACCAAACTCCTGAATTCAAAATGCATTTGGTCAATGTTGCTGTATAATTTATTGAAAATCTACATTAATGTTGAAATTGAAAGAGAAACATGTTAATTATTTTAAATGACCATAGATACACAGATTTTGACTTATTTGCAACTATTTTGCTTGACCACCTGTTTGTAGGTATGTACGTAGGTGCAATTGTGTATCGTCATCTAAATATTTATCGTTATTTGTGTAGTAATATTGAAACACTGCAGAGAGAGAATGGAATCGCGGATGTTATGTAGATACAAAAATCAATGTTGATGGGTGTAAGGTCTCCACGTACATGTGGAGTACACGCCGAGTGACTGACAGCTAGACCAAACATGACAAACGACGATAGTGGCTGGTGAACGCAAAAGTGACACAATTGAATTGAAAAATGTATTGGCGTCAATATCGTTTCAGTGTCACTTTGCCTGAAGCATGCATGCATACAAAGTTACACAGATCTCACACATATTTGTCGGTTCACAAAAATCAATGAAACGAAACAAAATAATTGGAACAATTAGAGCAGTGTGTATTAGGGTGGTTCAATACGTGTTTATAGTCATCAATGATTTTTGCTAAATGTTCTTAATTTAACAGTTTATTTATATCCTCCACCATAAGTTGGAGTGTAATTAAATTAAGCATTCCGTTGATAACATCTCAAAATATTCGAGAGGAGGTCCTATAACTAATATATTGTAGTAGAATAGAATATGGAGCCAAGCTATTGTAAATAATAACCGGACTACTTCACTGTCAATACCAAATAATTACGATCATTGAAACACAACTATGTATGTATACTAGATTTAAGAATAATGGAAGATGAAATAAAGAAAGGACGCCATTCAGTATTGAGCGATTGAAAATACAATATATATTGGTTTGGGGAAAAAGAAATCCATTCTTTTTTCGGCAGAAAATGTTATCGACATCGGAGAAATGATCAAAATGGACCGGCATGTTAGCAGTCATAACATCGCCTACGAGCTAAAAATTTAGCTCAATTCAAAAAGAAGATCAATGTTTGGGTGCCACACCAATTAACAGAAAAGGATGAATCGGATGAATCGAATTTCCATCTGCGAAGCCTTGGCCAAACGGATTGAGATAGACCCATTTCTTAAACGGATGGTGACTGAAGATGAGAAATGGATCACATACAATAACCCTGTACGAAAACGATTGTGATCAATGAGCGGTGAAGCTTCTCAAACGATGGCCAATCCAGGACAAACGGCCAGGAAGGTTCTGCTATGCATTTTGTGGGACTGGAAGGGGTTATTTATTATGAGTTGCTTTCATATGGCCAAACGCTAAATTCTGATCTCTACTCTCAACAACTGGGTCATTTGAAGATAGCAATTGACCAGAAACTGCCAGAATTTACCAACAGGAGAGTTGTCGTGTTCCATCAGGACAACGCTAGACCACACACATCTACAGTGACTCGCCAGAAACTTCGGAAGCTTAATTGGGAAGTTTTTATGCATCCGCCATACAGTCCGGTCATGGCACCAACAGCCTGTAATTTTGTCTTCAGGATATAAAGAGGCTGACATACGTCTATAAAGTTTCCGCGCACGTTTTGGTATTTTGAAGGTTTTAGCTACATTTTCCCACCAACGTGGATGTAAATTGGTAACCGGTTTTTAGGAGCCAGGCATGCATATTTACAGAAAATTTTAAATGTTGGTTTATGTTTTTTAAGATTTTTTTGGGCATTGCTTATTTTTGAGGCTGATATACATTTATGCCGAAAGTCATAAATATATATAGGTGTTTTGACATATGTTCCGGTTATTAAGGTCCTGTCACATTGTTAATATTTTGAAGAATTTATCCAAATTTTCTCACCAACGTGACTGATTCAAAGAATATTAATATGTTATTTTAATCGAATGTTTTATTCTACTAAAGTATCTGTGGCTGGATGCATTTGAAATTCCAGGTTCTTGAAGCGGTAAACAATTTGTTGATATATGTCCATATATATAGGTTCCGCAACATTTTCAGTATTTTAAATTTCTCCATCGAAGTGGCAGTAATTTTGCATTTGAGTTTTCGTAAGGTGAAAAAAATTGAGCAGAATATCTTCAATATAGGTTAATGTTTTGGCGTGGCACCCATATAAGGAAGGGACCGCCTAATTTTCGGTATTTTGATGATTTGAGCCAAATTTTTTTTTACCAAAGTGGTTGTAATTTGGCGTTATGAAATGCCTGTACATTAAAGTTTCTAGTACAATTAGTATCGGGTGAAGGAATAAAGCTCGAATGCAAAAAAAAAATAGTTTAGACCGTGTAGTTTATCGAAGAAGAGTTAAATTTAACGAAAGTTGATCGAGGATGAAACAATGGTAGCTTTCGGAGAGAGTCGAAAAAGGGGTCTTCGAAGACCCAGACGATACTAGATTTATACTTTCTAGCCATATTCCCGTAATTGGTTTTGAGCTGGTAAAATGTTAAGGGATACATTTAACGGATCACATCGGTTACTCCATTATCTTCATATGAAATAATAAAATGTTCAACACTTTGACATATTGTGGGGAAGGGCTGAATCCCATTCTCGAACTTAATATATTCCACTCCAGAAGAATTGGACCGAAAGGTCTCATCTTTAGACAAAGTGAGGTTTAAATCGGATACTCAAGACAACATTAATCGAATCAAACTGGAAAAAAATGCGCAAAAGACCGACACGCCTGGAAATCTTTTTTAAGCTCGGCTTGTGGAACGATTAAGATTAAAACATTAACCAAATTTTGACCCCTTGTAGGGAGGTTACCAGAAGGAGTGGACAGAAAGATCTCACATTCAAATATTATAAAGGTTTGGTTAAAATACTAGTGTGTGCAAGCTTTGGTTATAATCAGATGCTTTGTTCGCATTATATTATAACATTTATTTTCAGCAAAATTTTGACCAGAACGAGTAGACAGACACTTTCCATCTTCGAAGAAATATTAAGATGTGAAAAGTATGTATGAAATCGTTTACTCCCAGCCTGACGGACTATCGAACAGTTGTATTCAATTATCTGAAACGGTTTTGGCGCAAAGAAACGTGGGGTTTAAAATCGATGAGGTACGTAACAAAGTGTAACCATAATGCTGAGGGTATAAATACCAGTAAGCCGAGTAGTATAGTCTGAAGTCAGACAATGATATGATACCCTACAAAACTATCAACTGAACTTTTACTTTCTGCAGAGCTTGATCCCGAGCCTTGGCAAAATTTCCTGATATTTATATTTTCCTGTATGGCAATGGTTATATTAAATCATATAATAATATGTAGCCCTGTACAAATTTCAAAATGTTTTCCATATCTCTCCTATAACATATAATGAATTTTAGATCAGATTAAATATAAGTCATCCCTTGCAACTTTTCGGGATCGAGTCTTCCTGGTGTGAACTTGCACGCCATAGAATACACATTTTATCACTTGCACACAAAAATCTTGATCCAGTACACCCAAAATATCGACCGATAATCATCATACTAGTCATGTTTATTCTTTGACCAGATTTCCTTCTCCAATTAAAATTTCGTGACATTCGGATCATAATTGTGAACTCTGAAGTGATCAGGACACAGATAAACATAACGTTAAATCTATCGTTGGAAACGACAGAAGGAAAAAAGAACATGTGTCTCACCAGGTTAATTTGTTCTCATAGCTGAACAGCGTTGATCTAGAACCAATATTTCGCAGCCTTACAAACTCTTGTGTCATAGTACACAACTATTGGGTTATAAAAAATATATTTTTTGAAACCGAAATTAAGGAGGAAACCCTTAGCGACTTTTAGTATATAATTCATAACGAAAGGTTGTAATCACTCGAAGTATTTGTTAAACTTCGAACTTTTAGTATCGTATTTAGTATTGAGAACCATATAATATTTGAGC